GACAGAAAGGGGAATAACCCTACAGAAATTAAGTAGTCTATCGTCATTCATTGCATACATACAGTACAAGTATACTTTTGTCATTTTCACATACCTCTATTTCAACTTCCCTTTCTTTCAAATTTCAGATGCTAAACAGAATCCTGCTAACATGTCAGAGCTTTCATACATTGCCAAAAAGAAGTCTAGAAAAACCCATTTAACATAAAATTTGTTTGATTACTCTTCTTATTACTCTTAAAAAGTGTAGCTTTTCAATTTTCTCGTAGTTGTTTTGCTGTTATACAAAAACCTTGCACATGTTTGGGCTCATAAGCAGTTTCAAATCTCCACCCACAAATATTCTAAAAGGTACAAGAAGGTCACAGATTGACAACCAGCCTGATTTCTTCATCTTTAACATTACATAGAAATATTAGAAGCCTGGCACAGAAATGCCTCACATTGTAAGAAGTCTGTAGGAAAAGTTAAACCCATGTTACCACTGATAAAAGGGAGAAAATGCATTTACTCTCACCCCAAAATGATACTCCGAAGCCAACAGCAGTGCTGAAGTCTAACTAACTAGACAAAGTTCTACTAGAATGTATCCAATCTCAAAAGTAATTACTGCAAGATGAAAATCAGTCAGCTAGAGAGGACATGAAAAAGATAATTAACTTACTTGGTAACTTGATTATGATTATTTGGTAACTTGATTATGATTATTTTCTCTATAATTATATTAAAGAAAGTGATTTAGAAGTGCTCCTATATTTCTAGAAACTCTTACATGTCCTAACTCTTTAAAAGAATGCATTAGAGCCATTGTTTTTGAAAGGACAGAACTTTGACATACATAAAACTTGGCATGGGATTTGCTTACTCCACAGTTGAAGTTCAAGAATGGGGCCTGACAGTAAATCAACAACATAATGACACATATTTGCCATTATTTTTAAATGACTGCTTAAGGAAGTTTCAGACATCCACAGTAAAAAAAAAAAGTGCATTCACACCAACTCTAGTACCTCCTACAGTATCTTTTTAAAGAGAGCAATGTTTTACCCTTTTACCTTCTCTTCTTTAAATTAAACTTACTAACTAGATGCTTAAAATATCTCATTCCACAGTAAATTAAGAAAGTATTATAACTGACACTATTTATACAAGCTACCAACATAAATTGAATTCCCAACAATAAAACCTTACAAGCCAGGATTTCATCTGCCATCTTCCTGGCCACATTACAAATGGCAGCTTTGGGCTATCCTTGGATTAAAGTTTTCTTCCCTCTCTTAATATTTTCATAATGAACTTCCTCTGATAGATGAGCTTCAGCACCTCTCCTTAAGTGAAAGGCTTTGCTTTCTGTACCACTACATTTCATCCAATCTGAATTATTTCAAGTCATCCAGAGTTTTCTCCACAACATCCTGTAATTCCTCCATATTAACTAATGTCACGTTGTTAAGTCATCAGCATTCTCCTTCTCTGTGACTAATTACAAACATTGCTCAAATTATATTTTAAAAAACAAACAAGAACAAAACCATAGTTCCATTAGGAAGCCCTAGGCAACTAAGCTTTATCAGGCAATACTGAGCAATGCAATTGCACATTAAACAAGACAAACCACAAACAGGAAACTGAATGTTCATAAAGAGTTTTTTCACTGTAGCTTTCTAGATTTAAATTTAAGTTTGCAAAAGACTAATTTCAGATTAACTACATTTCTAGCACTCTGAAATAAACCCACTGAACTGTCAAATGTCAATCATCAAACAACCAAAACAAGAAACATTATTATATTAAGCTGAAAATCCATAAACACAAACCCTACCTGCTTTTCCTTTCAATGAGAATAGCCATGTAAGAAGCAGGTAAGGCTGCACCAAAGCCCGGAGACCAAAAGTAGAATTTTCCAAGTATCTTCCTGAAAAAGTAATGTAGATACATATTACATGCAAATTCATGCACCAAACTCTATTTTATCTGCATTATAAAATTACAAATTATTTATTAATTTTGTATTCTTATATTAATCTGTACTTACAAATAAACACTAACCATTATATTTTTACAACTGGATAATTCTCAAAGGATTTCCCAAAGTGTTTCATAAATACCTGAAACAATTCATTAATGTATTCATTTCATTTAAGTGGCTACTTTTCTTCCAGGAAATCAGTGTCTTCCAATACATATTTTTGAAAAGTTGCAGATACTAATTACAAAAAAATCTTCTAGAAGACCTTATAGCCACTCATCTATTTGCTACTTGTCCGAATACAAGTAAGATGCTCAGGAAGATCTGCCTTTTGGAACATTAGCGATGCAGTCAGGTAAGACAGAAATCAAATAAAGTAATTATAATACATGCTGCACTCCAAACAACCCACTGATTCGAAAAACAGCAAAATACATATTTACAGTATGCCAAGGAATCAGTCTCTACATTACAAGTGGAAGCAACAGTGAATACCCAATCCTATTAAGCTGGGAAAGCTCTCATTTTTGGCAGCTAGATCTGGATTTCTTTTAGAGTTCATACAATTTCAACTACCAAAATTCCTTCAACAATAAGAATTGAGGGAAAAAAAAAAGAGTTACATAAATGGCAATATCTAAGAAAATCTTTCTATAGATTGGTCATCATTAAAGGAAAAAAGCCAAACGGCATGTCAGACACAATGTTACACACCATGTTTGGTCTTCACAGAAGACCTGCACTTCAAACTTATTCAGGCCAATCATAGGCAAACAAGAGCCAGAGTTGTGACATTTGGTGGCATGATAATAAACATACTTTAATTATACCAATGCTGCTCAGCTGACAAGCACTATCAGTGAGAAAACAAAGCATTACAATGGAATCTACTCTTCTAAAAACACAGCAAACAAAATAAACAAAATTGCAAACACATACAGGGTAGAAGAGGACACTTTCTTAGACAAAATTTCATGTTGATGACAGAAGAGAGAACAAACATAATTAACCAACACCATCTGATTAGCTCACTTTCACTCTTGCCATCAAAGGCATGAGCAGCTTCATCTCATACTTCTGCAAAAATAACATTACCAGCGAGCAATGCCAGCTTATGTTCGTAAGTGAAAAGAGAGCCAGTGTATCAGCAGCAAGTGATGTAATGGCAATTACACACACTGCTCATTCCCACGGCTGCAAAAGGATAATTTCTCAGAATGACAATGCCAAATGCTGCAGGAGATAAAGTTCATTATTAGGACTCTCTCAGAAAGTAATTACTGTATGAAGTTTCAGGGAAGTCATTTTAAGCATCTTAATAAGTATGAACACATCTCACCAGACACACCTGTTAAGTAACAGAACAAATGCCTTTTCTGTGGGAAAGAAACAGTAATTTGTTCTTTTGGCATGGTTTAGAATCCTTTTACAAATGCTTGCATGTTTGGTTTGACAAGATTTCGGAAACAACAGTAACACATTCTACATTATAAAGTCCAGTGGAAATAAAAATGCACAGTCACTAACTGAAACATTCACACTTCTCCTAAAGTAAATGAAAATTAGGTTTTGTTATTACTTGCATGGTTATTTTCATATGTTCTATGGATAGAAATCCGAGTAGGAACTAGGAGTTCTTTCAGGTCATGAACCTAACTCCTCAATCTACAAGCTATACATGGACAAACTTAATTACTCTAGTTGATAGACTAACAGAACCATGCCTTCATGAGGTTTTACATGTAATTGAACCATAAACCTAAAAATCGCACTTTTCATTTAACAGATGCAATGCCTGTCAACACAGGAACCCAGCACTTCCATCTAAAGCCCAGACAGATGTAGTCTGCTGGATCTCACCAGTGGAAGAGATTACAACCCCCAACTGGACTGTCACACATCCTTAACAGAGATCATCATCCTCACTGCTCTGCCAACAGACCCTAATTCACCACACAAAAAAAAATAGGAGCTAAAAGAAAGTCAGTCAAGTTAGCTTGGCAACCTCTTCTAAAGCAAGAACATCTATCCATTGTCTAAGTCATTGCTGATATCGGTTTTAGATATTTTCAACATTTTACCCACCTGTGAAATGGTAAAAGTATTAAACAATGCATGAAATAATTTTAATTCCACATTCTTGCATGCAGTTCTACATCCTTGAGAATATTTTCATCAGTTTCAATTTTGGTAGTTTTTCCAAGCTGAAAGGAAGAAGCTACCGTAAATATGAGTTAACATGTCCAACTATAAACCCTTACTCCATTGCTTTGGTCTAGAACTCCAGGAGGGTAAGAGCAATCAACTGCACAGGGCTTGCTGAACAATTCTTCTGAGTTAGTGCTGTTGCTATAATATACCTTTAAAGCAAAAACAGATATAAAAACTGCAGCATATATCCTATAGTACAAATCTATCACATCCAATCTGTCATCACTATCTAGAACCAGATGAAGAACTTCTAGATCTTCACAGTCTCAAACAATCTCTTTTCATGGTTGCTTATCACGTCCAGAAATATTCAGGCCAGTTATGCAGAACCAGAGGTACTGGCATTTCTTTGACAAGTTAAAATGTTTCTGGCCTAAATAATCATGTACCATTACTCTTGCACTCAGGGGCTACTGAAGGAAGTACACTGTATCACACAGCACTAAGTTCAAAGAATAATATAACTTCAATCAAAACATTAAGAAAACAAACATTAAAAAAGACACAAATTGGTTAAAAATAAAGGACTGAAGTTTCACATTTCCATCCTCCATCAACTACCCAAGAGCAGGTAAGAGAAGCAAGCTTATATGCCTCAAGCTGCAAGACAAGTCTATTAAATACAAGATATTAAGTACATTTCAAGTTAATGACTTTTCAACATTATGATCTTAGAGAAACTCTCAAAAAGGCATAGAGAGCTCAGTTTGTAAAGGGGTCATGTATTCATTCAGCTTCCTGATGTGGTCTCATTTTTCCTCCAAACACCACTCACTCAGCTCCTTGACCACATTCAAGTGCTGAAGTGACTTGCTCAAAGAACCTACCCATAATGATCCTCAAACACCTTCCTGATAAACAGCAGCTAGTTTAAAGCCTGTTCCTGAGTAATGACAGAGCTGCTTTTTTACTTTGCACTTTTCTCTATCAAATTTCATAAGTGATTTTAATCAGCAGATCTTTCTGAAACAGATGAGAGTCAGTTTCAGATTTCCATACCCTAAATAATTTTACACAATCTCTCACAGTAGTGTTCAGCACCTCTTCCAGATTCCTAAGGTATATCCAAAATAAAGGACATAACAGGAACTTCACTGACAGCTTATTTCTACTATGCAAACCAATTATTTATGCCTTGTTTTGTTTCATATATATTAACTATTTGCATATTACTAATGCCTGGAAGACAGAAGACCTTCTTGACAAGTCCTAGAAACAATTCTTGTCACAGGCACTTGGGAATACATGAAAAATTTACCAAGTGGATCATCACCAGGTATGTACTCATTCTTCAAAGGATACAAGTCTGGAAAGTATTTCTTCTCTAACAATCATATTATCCATTGTTTTCTGAAATGTCATTTAATAGCTCTTACATATCCTAATCACTTAATCGCTGAGGCTCTGAATTTCATTTTGGACAAAAAAGCTGCAAAATTCTCACTATATTTGGACATTCATGTACTTCAACAGGAACCATTACCACGGCTGCCTTAAACACTTGTTATGCCTCTGTCAGTGATTTCAGTTCACCAGTTTCAATCAGCACTCTAGCCAATGACTTTTTAGTCCTGCAATTGCAGGTGGAGGGCAGTGTGCAGAGACTGCCAGCAAGGATTCTGATGCAGCTGTTTGCTCCTCAGGGGCATCCCTTTGCAAGAGAAAAAGCACATACACATCCCAAGATGTTGGTTGGTTACTGTGCAGCACAGCTGTATGAACAGCAGAATAAGTGCTTACATCTGTTTCTTGTCACATGTAATTATCGGAATTGTCCTTTACATTGTTTTGACCTAGGTCAACCTAAAAAATGCTTCAAGGAGACTTGGAGGGCACCTGGGCTAGGCAGCATTTCCATTACCCAGTCTGCATCTGGTCATGCTGCTCTGGAGGTCAGAACAGCTTAGACTGCTATGCTCACACAGGTAAAAGTGATGCCATGCCAGAGTAAGACACTAATCTCTTACCTACTTCATTGACCAGCACAGTCACAGATCTGCTAGATGGCTAATATCCTCTGTAAGAGGAACTGCTGAAAACCATACAACTTAAAACCATACCAGCTTAATTTAGAAAGTAACATTTAACTACAGCATTGAAATAAAGCACTGCAGATTTATAGCCAAATACATAGCAGAATAAGGAACAGCACTCTGTAGTTCAGAGAAATAAAGATAAATCAATATTGATACAACCTAGATTGCTAGAAAACATCATATTCTGTAGAGCTCATTACTTATAGATTAATTTTAAACTTTGAGAATTATTTACTTGATAAGCATTTCATGGCTCCTCAGCCTGCTCCTCTTCTCTGCTTTCTCCTCCACCTTTGAAGGAAAGTTGAGAGGCCTCAAAACTGATTTAGAAGTAGGGCATAAGGTGTTTATCTTTTAGAGGGATTCGTGAGTATGCTGTGAGTTAACTTTCAAACATTCATAGCTACTGTAAGCTTTACGTGTCTATGTATAACATCTCTTACAATAAATGCATCATCATATTAATAAAAAGCAACTTTTAATTTTTAACTATCATGATAGTTACTTGAAACATATGCTGGAAACAGAATACAGAGATGCCTTTTAGCTCATTTTTCAGAGCAAGTCTGTATCTTACAGAATCCCAGAGGCTGGGATTTCCTTCATTTATGATGGTAAGGAAAAGTACAAACTTGGATGGCTGTACCAAATTCAGTATAATTAAAAGTTATCACAGCCTCTGCATCAGGAAAATAGAAGCCAATATCAAATTACATCAATTATTTCTAGGAAAGATTAGGCCTTTTTAATTCCCCTCTAGCATCTATTTCAATTTCCTGCAACAATGTATTTTGAATCTTTAAAACAGAGAAAAAGAAGTAAAGCTTGACTTGCTTACTCATTTAAAAGATAAAAAAATGAGAATAATTTTTAAAAAGTAAAGCTTCATATCAAATGGTAAAACCAGAAATCAAGATGATTGCTGTAGCATTTCTTATTTCAAAGCATTACAAACAAGCCAATTACAAAAAGAGAAAAATTATTATACAAATTGAAAAGTTGCACAAAAATAGCTTTATTACATTTCATTTTTAGGATAGTATACCAACCTTAGAATGCAAAAGCAAGCAATATACAAGGTCCCATTTGCTGTCAGAAAGGAAGTTGACTGCAAGATCTCAGGTAGCAGTTTGTACAAATAATAGTCAAGTTTTCGTTTCCTGAGAATAGCTGCAATCTGAGGGAGAAGGAAAGAAAAAAAAAATAGAGGACAAACTTTAATTCAGTTAGGCACTTTTTGCACATGGTAAAGAAATAGAAAAACGGAAAATGAGGCATGCCCACGTAAGTAGTAAAACAAAGCCTATTAAACTTTATGGACAATGCCACAAAGATTTGCTTTGGACTTGTTCCAGCCGTTACAATATTTATACCAGGAAATACATCAAGCAATATGAAATTGGAAGTACAGGAGGAATTTTATTAGCTTGTTAACGTTGGCCATAATTGTCAGAAACACTGTCTGCCAGACATCAAAACTTTTAAGCTGTTGATATATCTACAGAGTTGTATCCTTAAGACAACTGGAAAATCACATAATTCTGGTCAGAATATCACTAAAGTAATCCAAAGACACACCTAACACAGTGTCTGTGAAGTGGTGATGTATTTTTAAAGGATTTCTACTTTAATTAATTAACTGCAAGTCCTCAAAAAATGTTCACCATCTGCTGGGAGAACAACAGATTCCTAACATATTTCACAGAATTGGTATATTACCTAAAAAACTGTCTATAGCAGACACCAGGCTCAATCTGAAGAATAAACATTCTTTTTGTTCAGTTTAATGTATGTCCAAGGTATTATAAAGAACAGCTTATTTAATGACTCAAACACTAAAGGTCCTCAAGCTTTTTTTGTCCATAGAAATTGTGCAATTAGCTAACAGGAAGACGTAGCAAAACGGGCTTTTCTCAGAGGTAACCCAGGGCTAAGACAAGAGGCAACAGACAAGCTCAAGTATGGGAAACTCTGGTTAGACCTAAAGAAAAGCTTCCATTTGAGGGTGGCTGAATATTGGAGGAGGTTACTGAAAATGACTGTGGACTCTCCACCCCTGGAGACCCTTGAAACTTAACTAGAAAAGTCCTCAAGCAACCTCAAGGCCTCCCAGGGTCCCTTCAGCCTGTGTGCTCATACAACTCCATGGAAGTATACTTTGAGTACAACATGAGACAATTCTTCATTCTACTATCATTATTGTCTTTATCTGCATTGATCTCCCCAGGAGTCTCAAAACTGGACAGTTTTTGGTCAATGCTTAGAGAAGTTCCAAACAGAGCAAGCTTCATATTGCTAGAGCAGATGAGAAGAAAGACATCCTGTCAAATCCATATGCCAGCATATCTCAAAGTCTTGGTTGTGAGAGGGAGATACTCTTCCCAAACATTGTCCAATGAATAGCAAGTAGATGTTTTAGAATCAGAGATAGGCTGAGGATTCTACTAAAATGAACCATGGGAAAAGTTCTGCCAAAATCTTGTTTCCAAAATGAAGCTTGAACTAAGGATTAAGAAGAAATTCATACATGAACAGACCCCTGAAAACAGATTTGCACATTACTTAATCAAGTGTCAAGACTGCTTTGAGCATAATGAGTTAGGCAATAATGCAATCCATAATCTTTCTGCTGAAGGAAAGCCTTAAGGTAGTCTAAATGCCAGATAACTAGCTGCTACCCACTCAGCTATTTCTAGCATATTGCAGGAAGGACATGAACACTGGAACAAAATAACTATTTTTTTTTGTTTTAAGAACACAGCCCTCATACCTAAGTGTGAAGCCTTGTTCCCTCAGACCAAAGTGTAACTGAATGAAAGATTAATTATCTTATAAATTAATGTCAAATCAAATCCAAAAAATTATTTCTGTAAAGTCTCCAGGAAGCTTTAGATTAATGTAAATTTCTGCTTTCCCTTCTCTTTACTATCCTACTCCCAAATGAAAAACAGAAAAGAACCAGAAACAATAACACACAAACCATTACAAAGAAAATTGGTCACATTAATTGAAAGAGAAATATGTGTGAGAGCAATAGAGCTTCATGCACACACACATACAAAAAAAAAAAAAAAGCTTATAAAAGCTTACATTTCTAACTGCTTTATAGACAACAATAAAGCTAAAGGGCTGAAACGAGGCAAGAGCAGACTATAAAGTTCTTCTACTCTTCTGCTACCAGTGATGTGATTACATGGAAAAAATACCAGATATTTCTGGATACAATTTTGCTGTCCCTATCAGTGCCACTCATTTCAGAAAAGTATTATTAAAGTGCAGAAATATTATGAAATCTGAATGCAGAGGTTCATGGCTCCCACTGGGATACACCTCACTCAATCAGCTGGGAGAACATTGTGATGAAAAACAAATTCTTACAATAAATGCACTGGTCAAGGCTTATTACTGGATGCCAATAGCAGAAAGAATGGAAGGAGAGGGCATCAGGACATCCAATAGGTACTCCCTTAGCAAAAGAATCATCTCCATAAAGATGCTAACAGATGCATTGAAAAAAGAAACTGGTCAGTATTAATAAAGAAACAGACAGAAAAAACATTTTCTAGCATTAACTAAAGAATTCACACAACTGCATTTTCACTCTCCATAAAAAATGTAATAAAAGAAATCAGTCCACCAGTTTCAGGATACTTCAGTTTGTGGAATATCATTACTTAAGTCCTTTTTCTTTTTAATTTAGTCTATATAGGCAAATGTTAATCCCCATTGATCTAAAAAAATCTGAATTTATTTACTGTGCCCTAACCATGGAAAGAATATACACAATTCCAATGCCACCCCTAAAGCATAGCTACATAGTCTACTGCAAGATTAGAGCTAGGCTATTGGTGTTCCAGCAGAAAAGGAGCACAAGACTCAAACCTAAGCATGATTTGAGGCACCAGCCAGGCCTGATTATTTTCATTATGTGTCATGTAACGCCTACAAGTATTCATCATCCAACCACAATAACCTCAGCTTCACCTCCAGTATCCTTAATCCTCACCTATACTCCTGAACTACAGATTCCACAAGGGGCACTGCACACAAAGGATGGTTTGATTTAATGAATGTACTAACAGGTTGATCAATTTACAGTTGGACAGGTTACACAGAAGGCTAAAAACACCACAGGCTTTCTGCCAATTCTGCTGTCCTGTGTACAACATTTTTGTCTCTCCCTCCTTCATCCCCCCTCCATAACCATGTCCTAAGTTTGTACAAAGTGTATGACTTCAAGGACTACCCCTTCCTCAAAATTTGGTGGAATTAGACGACACATACTACACTGACTGATGGAAAATGGAAACAAGCACTTCCATCTCTGATTCCTTCACAACATTCAGCTGAAATCAACCACATCATAACAAAATTTTATTAAAGAGAAACAGGAAAAGAAAAACAAAAAAAAAATGTATAACCCTACAGAAATATTCAGACACTTAGCCAAATCCTTAGGAAATCAGAGTTCAATAACATATATAAGCACAACTATCTGACACGTTGAGGTACCTTTAAAACACAAATTTAGAGATTACCAATACAACTGCGCAAGTGGTTTATATATTCCATATGCTGCAAGTCATTAAAAACCCAAGGAAAAATTTATAAATTAAGTCACATGCTAAAACCAAAGCAATCTCCAGTATTTAAAACAGTTAAAAAAATACCTCCAATTACTCAAATGGTGGGCAGTGCTACAAATACATGTCACATTTCTTTCATAACTATATTAAATTATTTATATGTTCTTTTAGAACCATGTGCAAGTTTTTACAAATTTTACAACATTACTCTTTTGTTTTATAAAAATTATTTTTAAGTGCTTTGGAGTAACTGAATCTCAAAATGCCCTCAGGTAACACTTGGATTTTGAAAGACACTTGCTCAAATAAGCAACTTCTTTCTCGTGCATCCTCTGAAACACAGATTTGATTTTCCTCAATTAGCTCGTCCCTTCCTGATTTCACAGATTATAAAACCTGACTTCCACATTGTTTAGTTTCATAACTCAAATCCTGCAATACTCTGTGGAATAATGTGTGCCACTTGCTCTGAGTTGCTGTGCCTCATGCGAGATGCTATATGAGGATCACCATCAGTGGGTTGAGTTGTTTTGATCTGGATTTTCTAAAATTTTCCATATCACTCAACCAACTGAAAAAAAGAAACAAACAGTACTCACATTCTTTGAATGATATCTAAATTACCTTCCAGTCTGGAATCACTCTCATTCCATGACAACTTATCTTTACTGTTTGTTTTCCTTCTATTGAAATGAGCTGGAGACTGTATTTCATTCCTCTTAAAATGTCTAACTCAGCATAATTTTCAAGGATTATCCTCCCACCCTGAAATTCTTGCACTCTACTGTAAAGCTGTACCAACTTAAGAGAACAGATTTATTCCTTGATAAACAGTCCCTGCTAGTTCTCAGTATTTGTAGTGCCTTTACCAAGATCTTTGCTCAGTCAGTCAAGGCTGAGGCCTTGATTTCCAACATTACCGTGATGCAGGCTCCTGGTTACCCCTTACAATTTTGAGCATAAATTTTTTAGTTCACCTGAATTTATTATATGACTATTTTTAAATCCTCAGCATATCTCAGTAAAAGATTCTTTTTGTTTATTTTCAATTTATGAAATAACTTTTATAGCATGGCCCAAAAGCCACCAGAACAGACTGAAATGATCACAACCTGGAATGAAGAAGTCACAGATTCTTACTTTAGTAACATCTAGGCTAATTTTAGTCATATTTAACCCAGCTTCCAGAAGAATGTAAAGACAAGAAGACAGTGACCTACATGTCATTCATAACATAGCAGAGAGACACAGGACACTGCACAGTACTAAGATTAACAGATATCTAAAAGAAGGCAATCACATATCACCATCACAGTAACTCTAGGTACTGGATCAGACAGAAGAAAGATTGCTGACAGCCTAACCCAGATATCCAAGCTGGCATCCAGAAGCATATTCCACAGCAACACAGTTCCTCCCTAGTCTCCCCACCCTACTTCTAAACACACAATGGTCTGCAGCACATACAAGGAAAAATCACATTTCAATATACCCAGCAATTCCAGAGTATTTTAGAATACAGTCTGGGCAGTGCAGCCTTCTTGCACACCTCAGAAAGATGATATATTTTAACTCTATCATGCTGGCAGAT